ACAACAACAACTATATTTTCTGGAATTGTTATTGTAAATAGTTAGAATTATCCCAAGAAGTTTCTGGTATTGTTCCAGCCCCACAGGGAAGAATAAATGGTAATAACATAGAATCATAAAACTAAAAGAGACCTTAGAAATCTTCTGGTCTTTCTTCTGTAATTTCTGTTACAGAGAAGGAAACAGTGACCTATAAAAATCACATAATTAGGGGGTGAGCAGGGATTGGATTCCAATTCTTTTGACTCCCAATCTAGTACTCTGGTATAGGGATAGACCAGTCCCATAATGTCACTAGTATAGGGAACATCTGGATGAGGGCACTCTCTCTGCTAGTGCAGGTCAGCACCCTATCTGCATTTATAGTTTCACAGAGTTGCCTGGAGATCTGAAAATTTAAGCCCAGGGTCATGCTGCCAGTATGTGTCAGCAGTGAGACTTAAACCCAGATCTTTTTGACTCTGAGGACAGCTCTCCAAATCTACCACTGCCATGCTGCCTATAACACTCTTATTAAGATTCTACATAATAATGTCACCTTTCATTATGTTACCAGTTCCCAAATATTTTGACCACAGTGACCCACTTCTAAAAGAGTTTTGGGTAGAACAGTCCATGAAATCTGAATTCCTTACCACTAGTCAGATTTCCCTGATTAACCCTAGTGACTATTTGCAAAAGTCATAAAATGAGTTCTCTGAATTATACAGAAGGACAGGTTTTTAAGGACTGATTCTGTCAGAGATAACAGTGAATTTTCCAGCATGGAATCTGCCTGAAAGTGTGATTTCTCACGCACATTTGTGTTTCTATCTTGTATCTGATCTGTTAATGTCTCTGGGGTTTGGATAAACCGAGGAGTCTCTTTGTTACAGGGCCTTCCCATGTTTAAAGAATGCACTACCTGAGCTGGAAACACAACTATAACAAGTCATAAGAAAAAAAGTTACACTGACAAGAAAAGTTTTTGTGGCAGAAATATTAGACTAAGAACAGAATGGATTTCTCAGGAGTAGCCAAGAAATCCAGGACCAAGAATAAAAAATCTAGAATTTGGTTGGGAAACCAGAGAAAGTTTAAGAACAGACTGAGATCTGGTGGTCTGAAGAGGGAGAAAGACAAACCAAGAACCTTGTGATTAGAAGAGTTGAATTCTAGAATTTTGGTGCTGGAAGGGAGCTCACTCATCATTCAGTCTGGTGGATGAACACACTGACGTCCTGGGCAAACGGCTTTCCAGTCTCTTTGTGAAGATCCACTGGGACAATAATAACTATCTCCAATGATGGTCTCTGCATCTACTTTAGATACCTAGCATCACCTCAACTGAAAAGTTTACACTTAGATTACTGCTTAGAGTAGTAGTAGTAGTAGTTGTAGTTATAGTAATAGTAGTAGTAGTAGTTGTTGTTGTTGTTGTTGTTGTTGTTAATTGGCCTGAGTGGGTGTTACTATTGACTAACTGGGCACATTGGGGATGGAAGTAGGAGTATGAGAGAACTTAGAAGCTTTCTATGGGCAGCTAGGTGGTGCCATAGTGCACAGAGTGCCAAGCCTAGAGTCAGGAAAACTCATCTTCATGAGTTCAAATCTAGCCTCAGACAATTACTAGTTGTGTGACCCTGGACAAGTCACTTAACCCTGTTTGCCTCAGTTTCCTCATCTGTAAAATGAACTGGAGAAGGAAATGGCAAACCACTCCAGATCTTTGCTAAGAAAACCTCATGAAGACATCATGAAGATGTGGACACAACTGAACAACTAAACAACAACAATAACAACAAGAAGCTCTCTAGGGGTGAGTGGTAGCAGTAAGGTGTAGTTACAAGAATACTGAATAAGGAGTCAGCAGAGAACAGGGTTTAGGATTATGAGAAGATCTAAGATTCAAATCCCAATTTTGCTGCTATGTGCCCTTGAGCCAATTGCTTCTGCTCTTTAGGCTGTAGATTTATCCTCTGTAAAAGGAGAAGGTTGGACTAGATCATGTGGAGGGTGCTTTCCAGCTCCAGTGTGAGCATGGAAAGGTAGCGGTAAGCTGACCCCTTCTGGCGCATGCTGGTATAACCCACAAGGCACTGACTCAAAACATCGCCCTGGATTCTGAGGGAACTGGGAAACTTTAACATGTCAACAGCCTCTTGATTGATTCACTTTCTAATGACTATTTCCTCCGGCACTCCTTGGCTAGGGGACATTGTAGAAGGTGCTAACTGGCGCCTCATCTAAAAAAGACCTATAGAGAGATGATTAATAAATGCTGTTGGTTGATGGGAGCAATTAGATTAGAAGCATGAAGCTATTACAGCTGGAAGGACCCTCAGAGGTCATCTGGTCCATCCCTCATTTAATTTAATTTAATTTAATTTTTCTTTAAAACAAGATTTTATTAAAGCCTTTAGTTTTTTCCATCATGGTCATCTCCAAAGATATTTCCTGTTCCCCAGGAGCCTTTTCTTGTAACAGAGAAAAATAATTTAACAAAACCAGAGGTGTACTAGGGCCAGCTCTAATTGGAAGACTGTTATCTTTTCAGAGTGGGCATTTAATCTCAGAAATCAGCCAGTCCTCTAAATCAGGGCTTGATTTATTGTTTTGTTCATTGTCTAGACGTAAGAAAGTGATGGAGAAAATGTTAATGATGCAGGTTAAATTTAAAAGTGTGTGTGACTCGTATATCCCCCCCCCCCAAAGCTGGTTGTTAAACATTGAACAATACACCACTAATTGAAAAAATAACAGACACAGTGACCGCACCTAAAGGCATAACCTAGCATTTTGCCGATGGGAAAACAGAGGTAAAATGGGACAGGAATATTAGACGGGCTCTGAAGTCCCTTCCAAAGGTATGATATGATTATGAGTTATTCTGCCTTCCTGAACTACTATCCTCGATAATATCATTGGCTCCCAACTTCATGCCCAATTTTTATCTCAAAGAAGTTCCTCCTTAGCTGCTTCAGCACTGACAATTTTCTGAGTGCGTTCACAGCAGAAAGAGAAGCAACAGCCCTAGATAATCCTGGCCCTTGTTTTTAATTCTCTTCCCTAAAGACTTAAAACTGCAGAAGCCATCAAAAAAAATCAAGGAGGGAGGGAGCCAAGGCTCTTGTCCCAGTTCCATCATAATTAGCTGAGTGACCTTGGGTAACTCTCTCTAGTCCTTGGTTTCTTCATAAAATGAAAGAGCCAGGCTTAGGCAATCACTGTTTTCTTCCCCTCTTACAACCTCTGATTCTGTGTGTGTCTCTGTGCGCTTGCGAGATACAAGATGATTAAGCAGATTGAGGTGAGTCAGTCTGAGTGAAAAGATCTTCCCTTCCTGATCAATACTTATTCATTTCTACTTTGCTGAAAATTGGCCCTCCCCGGGGGCAGTAAGCGGAAACTTGATTGATGATTTCTGAATCAAGACTCCTAATTAAAGGTCAGCAAAAGGGGATAAAATGAGACATATGAATAGAAGCATCAGTGTATTTCCCCACCGGGGGCTTTTATCTTTCCAAGGTCTTGGGCTGTCTTTCCAACCTTCCTCAGCTGCTTCTGAGGAGAGATCACCATGGCAACGGAAGGCCACTCAATGGTGCTAAAAACCTGGTACCAGGTCCATTAAAGGAGGAGGAAGCCAGTACTACCTCTCTAGAGAGGAGTTGGAAGAGCAAAGCCATTCTCATTTCATAGAAATTTTAAAAAAAATAAAAATTAGAGCAAGCAGAGACTTTTGAGATCCTCTGGTTCAACTCCCTCCTTTGATAGATGAAGAAACTGAGGTCTGGAAAAGTCATGCGACTTCTCCATGGTCACACAGGTAGTTAGTAGTAAAGTTAGAACTGGAGCCCAGGCGTAGCAAGGTGGTGCAGTGAATAGAGCACAGGACTTGGAGTCAGGAGGACCTGAGTCCAAATCCTACCTCAGATACTTACTAGCTGTGTGACCCTGGGCAAATCACTTAACCCCGACTGCCTCCAAAAAAGAAAGAAAAGAACTGGAATGCAGCTTTCCTGACTTAGAGCTCAGTGTACTTATCCTTGACTCCTCACTCCCCGCCACCCCCATTGCCTTCATCCACTCAGTTGCCAACTTTTATTGATTCTATCTCCCTGACATCTCTTGTACACGTCCCCTTCATTCAACCCACATGGTTACCCTTTAAGTAGGTGGTCACCTGCAATGACTTTCTAATTTTTCTCCCTGCCTCCATTCTTGTCCCTTTTCCCTTCATCCTCCCCGAAGCTGCCAAACTGATCTTCCTATCTCGCAGATCTGACACATCACTACCCTGCTTTTGCTTCTAGGATTAAATGCAAACTCCTCTGGCATGTAAAGCCTTCCACAGCCTGGCTCTTGCCTACTTTTCAGACCTATTAAACATTATTTCCTTCCACACACTCTGTGGAATAGCCAAACTGACCTTATTGTTATGGCTCATATATAACAATTCATTCTCCACTTCCATACCTTGCACATATATTGTTCCCCGTGCCTGGAAGACGCTCCTTCTACATCTCTGATTCTTAGAATTATTAGCTCTGTGTGTGTGTGTGTGTGTGTGTGTGTGTGTGTGAGTGTGTGTGTGTGTGTGTGAGTGTGTGTATGCACTTTTTTCCCCATGAGAGAATGTAAGCAACTTGAGGGTAAGGACTTTTTCATTTTAGCTTTTGTATCCCCCAGCACATGGCATAATGTATGGCACACAGTAGGTACTTAATAAATGCTCACTGATTGATTTCTGCTAAGATTCCCCTGCCTTCCTGGTTGAGAGAGACTCTGAAACATCCAAAGTTAACTCAAGGATGTCACAATTGCCTCCACAGACTTTCCCCTACTTTGCTTCTAACCACAAAACAAGCAAGACGGAAGTGGGAAATTAAGGGAAACACATCAAAAGGGATCCAGACTTTGGAGGGGGGTGACCTTTTTAACAAAAATCGTGGTGAGATGAGCTAAGATAAAATGCAAATTGTGTGGATTGATATGAGGAATGAGGCCCCAGGCCTTACCAGAGCTTGCTCTATGAGGAGGCAGAAGAGAATGGCATTGCCCACTTCCCTCAGGCTCTGGAACACATCAGTCTTGAGTTCTGCATACTCAATGATGTCCTTCAGCTGGTGATGGAAAAACTCCAAGATCCCTAGGGAGACAGAGGAGACAGATCATCAGAGAGCTTTCAGCTGGCTTCTTTGGGCTGAAACCCTGGGTGAGCATTAGAGATACGAAGAAGTGAAATCTGGGTGCCCAAGATGCAACCTTGCTGACTTGTTCTAGATTCTATTGAGGAGTGTAAAAATCACCTGGCTCCGAATCCACAATCCACAAGAAGAAAACTCAGGTGAAAACTGTGTTTCTCACTGCAGGGCAATATCTTATTCTCTTTTCTTTTTTTTTTTTTCTAGTGAGGCAATTGGGGTTAAGTGACTTGCCCAGAGTCATACAGCTAGGAAGCATTATGTGTCTGAGGCCAGATTTGAACTCAGGTCCTCCTGATTCCAGGGACAATGCTCTATCCACTGCACCACCTAGCTGCCCCTGAAATATCTTATTCTAACCTCAAATATAATCTCCTGCCCATGGGCACTGGTCCTAGCCCTGGCCCTTGCCCCACTCCCTCCCTGGACACCAGATATCTCGATGGAAGGGGACAGTTATTTGCCTGCATGGTCATGGAATGACAAAAGCCTCTGTTTCCTAGATGGCTTTCTGGGCCGCTATTAACTACCTCAGAGGCCTTTTCATAGGGGCAGATCATTTTGGGAGTTTGGAGGAAAAGGTCAGATGGATTGGTATGTAATAATGACAATAATAATAACTAACAGTTACACAGTAGGTTCCAGGCACTGTGCTAAGTGCTTTACAATTATTATCTCATTTGATCCTCACAGCAACCATGAAGGGTAGGTGCTGTTATTATCTCTGTTTTATAGATGAGGAAACTGAGGCAAATAGAAGGTTAGTACATGCCTGAGGTAGAATTTGAACTCAGTTCTTCCTGACTCCAGGTCCAGGGCTTGATCTACTAAGCCACCTTGCTGCCCCTATTTATTATTATTATTGTACAGCCCTTTATTTTTTTTCAAAACACTTCTATATTCATTATCTTGTTTTATCTTCCCCAGGAGAGGCAGATTGTCCTAGTGGATGGAGAGCCAGTTCAAAGTCAGAAAAATCTGGGTTCAAGTCCTGCCTCTGACTCAAACTGGCTGGACAAGTTACTCTCAGTACTCTAAGCAACCCTTTGAGACTCTTAGTGGCAGAGAATGTGTCCACCTGAGTTGGTAGAAGTTTCCTCATCTGGGGGTCCTTTACCAATGAAATTACAGGTACAGTCTCTAGCTTATCCTGATCTCCCTACCTACCTTGGGACACAGGCAGGGCACTCATAATCTACCCTTCCCACCCCCAACCTTCCCTAACGACAGAGGAAGAAACTGAGGTTCAGAGAGGTAAGTGACTTTCTCAAGACCTTCTAGGTGGATACTCAATCAACAAACATGTATGTACCTTGTACCAGTCACTCTGCTAAGTGCTGGAGCTAAGAAAGGCAAAAACAGACCTCAAGAAGCTTACATTCTAATGAGGGAGACAACATGTAAACAACTAGGCATAAATAAGATTAAGACCATAAGCAAATTAAGACCTGGGACTTGAACCCAAGTCTCTAGAATCCTAGTCCAATGTTCACCATGGTTCTGACACCTGGTATGCCAAAGGAAAGCTCATCAAAGGCATCTACTTGGACAGTAATGGAACCAACCAGGAGAATGTAAGCTCCTCTAGGGCAAGAACAATTTTGTTTTTGTCTTTGTATTACTTCCTGGTAAACTGTTTGGTTTGTAGTAGCCATGAAGCAAATGCCTGTTGAAATGAATGCCTTCCCAACACTAACCTGGGGAGCCATATTCATGCCGTGGCAACCTGCATATCTTGGGCATCACCTCTATCAGGGTCTTCACATACTGGAGGATTGTTCCTTGTAGCTGGCAAAGGAAAAGGAAAAAAGAAAGCATGGGAAGACAAGAAAATGTTAGGTTCAAGATTCATTCATGCCAAAGTTCTTTCTCTGACCCTGGTATCTAGAGAGGTAAGGGTTGTCCAACTTGATATCAGCCTCGAAGATGTGAGTCTGGGCCTACGTATTGTTTCCCTGAATGTCTGTATGTGAAACTACAGAGAGACTCTTTTGCCTGACATCTAAGGCTCTCCACAATCTTGTGTAACTGTACCTTTGCAGCCTCATCTCCTATTAATCCCCTTCTCCCACTCTATATTCTAGCCAAATTACACTAAATCTCATATATCATGACTCACATGGAAGAGGGATTAGTCATGCTTTCCCTGACCCTGGGTAGATCAATGGGTAGAAGTCAAAGAGGCAGATTTAAGGCTGGATGTTAGGAAAAACTTCCTAAGAATTAGAGCCATCCAGAAATGCAATGGGAGACCTCCTCGGGAGACAGTAGATTTCCTCACTTCAAATATAGCAAAGGCTATATTGTAAAGTTACTCAGATTGGGTTAGAGGAATGGAACAAATAGTTCTTGCCCTCAAGGAGCTTACATTCTCCTGGTTCCATTAAAGGGCCTTTGAGGTCACTTCCAACATTGACCATCCTTCTGTGATCCCATGCCTTTGCTTGTGCTGTTATCTATGCCTGGGGTGGTCTTCCTCTCTCTTGCCTTGTTGAATTGCTATCTGTCTTTCACAACTCAATTGAAATGCCCCTTGGCCCATGAAGCCTTCCTTGACTGTCTTTACCTGCTTCTTCTCCCTTGACTCTAATTAGCAATGACCTTCCCCCTCATACTGCACATAGCACTATTTTGTAACTCTCTGATGTGCTTATCGGCTACTTTTATTATCTTTGTTGATATCTTGTGCCCCTACTACACTATAAGTTACTTAAGGGCAAGGAATATATCTGATCTAAGCTTTGAATATCTACTGGAACTTGGCACAATTCTCTATATAATATGCACTTAATAAATGTCTGTTGTATTTTACTGTATTGTACATGGCACATTTCATGGTATATGATGGAACATATGCAGCACAATGTACTATAACCCATTAATTTATCTAGATGCTTTCTGAAGCTATTTCTATCTCCTCATCCAGAATGTACCTTGTTGGCATATTCCTCCATTACACAAATGTGTATAGTGATGTTAAAGACCATTTAACTGCTCTCAGGACTTTAGGCCCAAGAATGTGATAGTTTCACCTTCTCCCTTTCCTCAAAGGGGAAACTGAGCTGTGTTTCTTCACCTTGGCCACCTTTTATAACCTGTGATCAATCCCTAATGCTGGTGATTGCTGTTCCACTATCTAAACCAGAACCACAACCTGGGAATAAACCATATTTGTGCTGGAGTTAGCTTGGTGAGAGCTGATCCGTTAAATTTTCAATGCGGGCACTTACATTTTGAAATCAGCAAAGGCTATAAATCAAAGTGTGATCTATTTTGTTCACTGTGGAAAATGTTAAATAATACAGATTAAACTTATAAATGGGTTATGGGTACATTCTTCTTCCCAAAAAACGGTTGTTAAACATTTACCAGTATACCCCTGGATTAAGCTGTATGATTTGGGGAGAACCTATGAAATTTAGCCAGCCCTCAACCCAATAGTTGATCTCTCAATTTTCTATTACTTGCAATCAAATCTACAGTACCATTGCTTCTGTAAAGGATGTGCCAATTAATTGTGCTACCGTTCTTTTCACCATCTTTGTGACATCCCAGACCCTAACGCCCTTGCCTGGCCACCATCCTCTTATATGTACTACCTCATCCTATTAGTTGTTAATGGGCAAGAACTGGTCCACTAGTCTACTTCTATCTCTAGTATCTAGGACAAAGTAAAAGTTTAATAAATTCTTTTTCATTCTTTCATTCACAAAGGCCCTCATTATTAGTAAAAACTTAACTGAACGTGGACATGGGTCAAGCCTTCTGAAGGCTGAACTTACCAAACTCTTGACAATCTTGAGCAGTTCTTCCATCACCACAGCAATGCCCTGATAACCCAGGAGCCTGCAGATTGTCTTGAAATGAGGTGGCCCCACAAAATTCCTATAGGAGCTGTAGATGTGGCTGTAGGCAATGTTGAGGGGCTGCAAAAACAGAAACGGTTGTAATGTGAATGGAGCACTGAATTTTTCTTACCCTGAAGAACAGTGTTTTAAAATTCATCTGCTTCAGTGACTAAGCCCTATTTTTAAAAGAGCGAGAATGAAATATGTCCCCTGCCTCTTAGAAAAGAGGTGCTAGACTAGACGTGAAGGGTGAGGCTTTCGTTTTCAAACACGGCCAAAGTGTTGGTTTGTCTTGTTTGATTGTACTTATTCATACAAGAAAGGATTCTGGGAGTGGGGGAGAAGGTAGTTAACAGGAAGAGATTAATTTAAAAAAAAGAGCATCAATAAAATATTTTTAAAAAATAAATAAATGTATCTGTTTATTTCAAGTCTGCATAAACATTTTTTAGGAAGATTTTATAAGTTAGTTAAACATACTGTTTCCCAGGATTGAGTTCACTTTTTATAATCTGGAAGATAAGGATATTTAGATAATCTGTTCATGCCTAATAGTAATGTTGAATGAAATATTTACAGTAACACAGGCTGACCCCTCAAAAGACAGTAGCACAGTGAGTAGGATACAGTTAGACTCGTGCTTTAGAAATATGTCTTTGGCAGGAGTACGGAGGATAGAATGGAGAAGGGAGAGAGGATGGAGGGAGGCTATTGCAGAAGGATATTGTAATAATCCAGGTGATAGCTCGTGAGGTTCTGAACTAGGGTGGTTGCTATGTAGGGGGAGAAAAGGAGGTGAGCTGTGAAAAAATGTTGTGGAAGTATAATTGAGGGATGGATTTGCTACTGTAGGGAGAAGGAGGAATGACAGAGGATGCTAGAGCTGTGAACCTGGGTGGCTGGAAGAAGGGTGGTACCCTCATCAGTAGTTGGGATATTTGGAAGACCAGTGGGTTGGGGGCGTGGGGAAGGTAATGTAATGAGTTCTGCAGTGCAAATTACAACCCAACCAAGACTGCTTATCTTATAGAATTCATTCTGTCCCACCCAAAATCAAAAGGGAGGAGATGGATTGGGGCTCTTCCTTATTAGTTACAGCACTGGAGAGTAGAGTCCCCCCTAAAAGGGCACCTATAATAGCCAGGAGGTGACCTGGAAGGCAGAAGCTAGGTATGCTGGGAGAGGGTAGGAATTTTCCAAATGGCTTCTACACAATTGCCATTAGTTCTATGGGTAGCAGTTAGATAATTGCCTTGAGGGACAGAAGGATTCATAAAAGGGAAGTTGGGAGTGCCTAGAGGAGAGGCTAGAGTAGGGGGTCCTTGTTTGAGAGACAAGCCTAGACTGGCTATGGGAGGGATGATGGTATACAACCTGGGTGTGCTGATAAATGTTTAACAACCAGCTTTCCCATGTATGCAGGGTACCTTTTAAAGTTTAATCTACATCATTAGTTTGCAGAATTGTAATTGGATTCACATTGAAAATTTAATAATCAGCTCTCCAGCCAGCAAGAGCTGGCTTCAGCACTCTACAGTATACAACCTATATTCTCATGTTCTGATTGATCACATGCCCCTTGAGGTCAGTTTCAGTCCCTTTCTTCCCATTTTGAAGACCTGTAGACTAGGACACTGAGAGGTTAAAAGGGAGGGAGGGAATGAGCATTTATTAAGTATCAACTATGTGCCAGGCATTGTACTAAGTGCTTCTTACAATTACTATTTTATTTGATCCTCACAACAACTTGGTGAAGTGGATTCTATTATTATCCCCATTTTTCTATAGTTGGGAAAACTGAGGCAATCAGAAGTTTAAGTGACTTGCCCAGCTAAGTCTCATAGGTAGGAAGTGTCTGAGGCTGGATTTGAATGCAGGTCTTCCTGATTCCAGTCCCAGCACTCTTTTCACTATGCCACCTAGCTGTCTATACAACTAGGCTGAGAGACTTGTCCATGTTCACACAGGTAGAACGTGTCCGAGCAAGGACTTGAATCCAAGTTTTGTTGACTTTAAAGCTAGCCATCTATCTACTATGCTACTCTGTCTCTAACAGAAATGAACTAATGCACTTTAATCAACAGAAACTGTTATCTGATGCTCTGTTACCCAGAACTCTCTGCTACCCAACACTTCCACAATATAATGTTAATGCCATTCATACCTATGCTTTAGAATCCTTATGGATCCTCAAAGAAAGATTCTGTTCTATTCAGTCTAGTTTTACTGCTTGGGGGGAAATCTTACTGAATCCCAGTCATCTTAAAACTGAAAATTCCTGCATTGCATATTTGGGAGCTCTCTAAAAGTCAGGATATTTGATCAGCTGCAATCCCCCATTCCTTCACCATTCTGTATAACAGAATACATTCATTATATGAAAACTTCACCTACTTTGAGGTCCTAAAGGTGTGCTATATGCAGTCATAACATTTATGTGACAAAAGCCTACTTTGGTGCTACGCAGACAATTCTTAATACTACTTGAGTGTGATGAAATTCTCAGCTAAACAGAGGGTGAATGGAGACATTATCACATGTAGTCACAATATATTCTAAAGGCCACTTTGGTGAGGGATAGGAGTGCCTATTAGAGACTCAAAAGTATGATAATTGCTCATTAGTATTGTGCACATGCCAGGCATTTTTATGAAAATGTTCACTTCAGCTCAGTGATCTATGTAGCTGGGCTAGTACCATGATTAAGTTTGCATATGCAAGGCAAATATAGATGTTAACAATTGAGAGAAATGGTTATTAAATAACTAATGACTTGGAGAGATCCAGAGTTCTCCCCCTTTTTCTAAAGTTCTCATTTCAAAGCTCAGTTGGACAGGACATATGATAGCAGATAGGATTAACATTCTCCTCAATCTAGGTATTGCTGCTCCACTGGCCTTACAGGTGAAACTCCTACACACGTTGTCTTCTGCTCAGGCTTGAGTGAGAGATACAAATTCTTTGATTAGATTGCCCAAGGTCGGGCAATTTAGAAGTAAATGACATAAAGTTACATTCTCCCAGCCCTTCATTAAAATAGGTCCACCTCTCATTGTAATATTCATTCTCTCATAACTTATTAACCAATCAGAGTTGATTGCCACCCTTAGGAACACTCACTCTTCCAGGGGCATATAAACTGTGAGTCCACTACCATGATTGATCTTTGGAATTCCAGAGTGTCATTGACCCTTTTATTAATAAAATGCTAGCATTATTAGTAAAATGATTAATTACCCAGAAATTATGTCTCTCAAACTTTTTAAACATTGCACAATGTAGTATGTATTGCTATTTTTGTATTGTTATTGTATATGAATTTTTTTGTACCAGATCTTTGATTTCACTGGTATAGGCTGTGCTTCTCAAAGTATTGTCTGGAGACCCCGGGACACTTTCAAAGGGGGTCCATAAAGTAAAAACTATTTTCACAATAACATGAAGTCATTTTGATTTCAAATATGGTAAATACTGATAGATATGAGTTACATAAACAAAAGCTCTTTGATGGGTCCTCGATAATTTTTTTTTTGGACTAGGCAATGGGGTTAAGTGACTTGCCCAAGGTCACACATCAAGTAAGTGTTATGTGTCTGAGGCTGGATTTGAACTCAGGTCCTCCTGAATCCAAGGCCAGTGCTTTATCCACTTCGCCACCTAGCTGCCCCTTCCTCAATAATTTTTAAGAGTGCAAAGTGGTCCTGAGACCAAAAGGTTTGCAAGATGCTGCTATAGGGAACTTTGGTGAGGAAAATCCCCCTGAGGCAGCAAAGTACCTCTTCTTTGAGAACTGCTGGCAGGGGTCTGAGAAATTAAGCATCTTGCCAAGGGTCACAGAGCTGGGAGGTGGGGCTGGAACCCAAGTCTTTCTGATTCTGAGACTAGTTCTTTAAACTTTGTGTCATGATGCCTCGTGGGCAGAGATCCAACGTGCCTGCAAGACTGCAGCCACAAAGACTGAATTCTCTATTTTTCTGTTTGCTTTTAGGAAAAGGGATTTTTCTTCAAGTGAGGGCCCCTTCAGCTAATGGTGTTTGACAAGAGCCATTAATGGTCTGCCTAGGCCCACAGGAGCATGTTGAGATGCTGATCTGGTAATGGTGAGTATTTGAGAATACTGCTTTTGATGAAAGCTCAACGTTTATGGTCCATTAGGCTCTTTTCTCAGTGCCAGTTAGTTGTTTCTTCTAACCCACAGAGCAGCAAGAGTGCACCCTGGTCTTCCTATATAGTTCCTTCTTGAGGACATGCTATTGAGAGGAGCTTTGGGACAACAATCACTTTTCTGAATTGGGACCACCAAAAGGAAGTCAGCAGCTAGTCATGTCTCCATCTTTTGGCTTTTTCTTGTGATATGTACCTGAGACCTTCTCAAGAATCAGAGACAATCAGGGCTAAAAATGACCTTAGGGATAATTTAGTCTAATTCGATTATTTTACATGTTTCAAGATGAGACAAATATAATGCCTAACAACTCAACTCACATATTTACATGGCATTTCATGCTTCACAAAGCCTACAAAGGAACGTAAGTTTCTTGAGGGCAGGGATTCATCTTTGTATTCCTAACGCTGGCACAGCAGCACCAGGCACCTAGTAAACTTGATAAATGCTTATCGAATGAAGGGGTGCACAACTTTCCTTCTCTTCTGTACTTTTCTGCAGCTGCCTCATGGCTTGTGACACATTCCCTCTATTTCACCATTTCCCTGGGAAGTGAGCAGGAAGGTCACCTCCAGAATCCATCTGCAGAGCCACTTCAGAGTGAACAAAAACCTGGTGGAGTCCTAGAAGTATGGAATGAATTCCACTGCCCAAGTCTTATTTTCAAGATGTTTGTTCTCTAAGGTCTCCTATTGCTGATGGCAGCTCTTCTTAACAAACATTAATACAAAGATGGATGGTCACTCATCAGCTAGATGACAGGTTTGAGAGATCATAGATTTAGACCTGGAAGGGACCTATAGAGATGCTTCACCACCACAGGTCAGAAACCACAAAACAAAACAAAACAAAAAACAGGCACACCCCATGCAATTTGAAGACTCTCTTTTGGACACGTTGATAGGACTAAGAC